CATCCCCACATACTACACACAGACACACACAGACACAGTCACAGACACACACAGATATACACGCATCCCCACATACTACACACACAGGCACACACACACACACACACACACACACACACACACACACACAGAGCTTTCTAGTATTAAGGAGTCAATGATATTACTCAATTTCTTGCCCAAGTGCCTTTCTTGAGGTTACTCATCCATCAGGTCTCCTAGCCTTTGCAGGTTTCTGTCTAAATGAGGAAATAATGTAGCCATTATATTTTGGCCAGTTTGCTCTTGTGCTCAGCTATGTGGATACCAGACACTATGCCACTTCAAGTCCCTAGCCTTGAACCCAATTTTATCCTTAATAACTTTTAATTGTTAGCTAAATATTTAAAAATCACTTCAAATGTGAATAACATATACTCCTAAACCACAGCTTCTGAACACAAGCGTCCCCAGCCCTGACCTGTTCTCCAGTAAGAGCACTCTTCCCCAGGCCTCTCACAGGCCATTTGTGTTTCCTCCATTGTTTTCAAACTCTGTTTTCATGGCTGTGGATGTCTCTTTAAGATGTTCTTAGTGAAACCAGCCCAACATCTACAGTATGTATTATTACCCGTGTTACTGTGATATCACCCTCTAAATTTCAATTATTTTCTGGTGTTTACTAGTTATTCCTGTATGATTTACTTCTCTATAGCTAGTGAGGTGGTTTGTTTAGTTTTTTTTTCCACATCAGCATTCTGTACAGAGTACATGCTAGTGATCTCCTACTTAGTATTTGGATAGTTAAGAAATTAAGCCTTTAAATGGCATTCATGACTGTTTACTTGGCAAGAGCTAAAATTCCACTCCATATCCAGCACTGTGCTAGGTATGGAGAATTCATAAACTGAAACAAATAAAAACTTAAAGGCAGAGCAGCCATGGTCCCTTGATCTCTGCCTGTAGAGTAGCCAAGATGCACCTCTCTACTATGTATCCTGTTATTGTTTGACACTGTGTTAGTGCCACGTGGCTGTGGCCCATCACGTTGGCACTGGCCTCCCTGGGATAGGGGGTGAGTGTTAAGGAACCATGTTCTTAGGGTCTGGCAGCATCCTCAACATACTAGGTTCTTGGGGAATGCTTGGTATGAAATAGACTACAGTATAATTTGAAAACTGTTACTTTAGAGACTGTATGGTGGGGTGTTGGGAGGGCAGGCGAGGGGGGTGCCCAGCATGCTTTTCTGTTTCTTGGCTAGGATAAGCCCTTGTGGCCAAATGACAGCCCTGTCAGCCTGCATTTGGCCACAGTTTCATTTGGACAGTAATTTTACTTAAACCAATATTGGCAGCCTTCACTTGGTGGATTGCATTTTTGAGGAGGCACTGTACTTAAGAAGCATGTAAGTTGGCTAAAGTAGGTTCTTACATTTCTGTACAAGGACTTAAAACACATACTTTTAGAGCAAAATCCTATGCTTAGGAAATTTTGATATACCTATTACATAGTATAAATTTTTCAAAGGTTAGACCAACTACTGTATTTCCCATTGGCCTTTAAATGTTGTTTAACCCATTACATGTATGTGTTATGAAGAGATTTCCTGAAGCACCTACAAGAAACAGTTAAGACATTAGCCCTTCCGATAGAGTGATCCTGGCATGCCTTTAGGGGAGAAAGAAAATTTCTGTATGTTTTTAAAAGCTTTTTTTGTAATGTCTTAAAATTTTATTTAGAATGACTTTTGTATGGAAAGAAAGAATTAGTGGAACTTAGTTTTAAGAGGAGGGTAGCAAGCTTATGTGCTTCTGGAGAAATGGTTCCTGGCTGATTGTAGGACTGGGAGGCCCCCAAAGGGATTATTCTCCCACTCAGAAGCAGGGGATATATGTCCTCTTGGAGACATGGCAAGATTGGGAGGGGTGACCTGGGGCTGCTGAAAAAGGTTTTCAGGTGCTGAAGGACATCAAGGTGGAATTTCTGGGGAACGTGGCTTCTGCATTGCTAGTTTACAGGGCCTTTGGTTTGGATCTACATGCTAAGTCTCTGTGATGTAAGCTGTGAATGCAAATCCATAGAACCCAGGAGGGCCAGATGTGTGCATTCAACATCAGTTATAGCATTTAAGGAATGCTTTATTGTATAGATAATATTTTAGGGTATGCTATTATTACAACGGGAGGGTAAGTGTTACTCACAGAACATTAGAAAACAGGACCTGGCAAGAAAAGATGAAAGGAGCGTAGAGTTAGTTTGACGGTTAAAGCAGGTTCCATAATATTAAAGCTCTAGCTCTGTGTTCCCAAATCTAGAAAGGGTTGAGACATGATCTAAAATGTTGTTTATCCCTATTGATATTAAAAAGACTATTTTATAGTGTTACTATAGAGGCTGTTTTGTAAACAGTAGTTTACTCAACTGTATATTTTAAATAAGTGTTTCTGTTATTTTCCTTATATAAGTAAATTCCACTTATAAAGGCTTCATTCGATTTAGGGACACATAGCACTTTTTGACATTTCATAATTCTAGCCTTTCCTCAGATTAACTTCCTTATGTACTTTGCACGCACATATCCTTGCCTACCCTTGTACATATGTCTTAGTTGTCTCACATTACATATAATTTGTAGCTTGCCTTTGTTTTCCAGTTCACAGTAGGCCATTAGCACTTACTCTGAGTCATTGTTCATAATTCCCAGTGTGCTTCTTTAAAAAATGGTCACAGTATTCTACTATCAATGTATCAAATGTATCAAATTTGAGAGTACATAATTAAGCTTTCTCCAGCAAGATTTTTGCCTGAAATAGTCCCAAGGGACTGTACTGAGAATGACAGGCATTTGAGAAATTCTGCAGTCGTGAAGTGGTATCTGAAACAAGGAATGGCATGAGGAAAGGAGAGCTTTATATAACAGTAAAGACCAGTAAAAGACCTTGTAAAATTAATTCCAAATGCTTGTTGCTATAATGTCTTGGCTAAAAGACCTAACAGTGCAGACCATATTTAAAAGCAAAATCAGTCCTTGTAGATAATGGCTGATTGATGAAGTGTGGAACCCTTGTTTTTAAAACAATATATATATATTTAAAATTATATATGCCCCATCACCCTATTCTGTTTTGTCCTTTGATATGCTTACCATGTCTTGGATAATAATTCTGTAACAGTAAAGGCTTCTTGCCTCTTCAGAAACTGTAGCAAGAAGCCTAACAATTTGTGGACATACTGGTCATGTAGTTTTACCATGACTGAGAGGCCTCTGATCAGCTGTAGGGCTCTGTTTATTAACGTTACAGCATTTGAGGCTACAAAAAAATCTTTTATAGCGTAACAAGCTATACTTCCATAACCACTATTTTCTTCTCCCAGCAAAGAGGCAATGTCTTCATTTAATGGTGGACCCTTAGAGACTTGGTGCTCTGGTTACACATTTGCTGGTGTTTAAGTATAGGTGCTTTGTGTTGATTTAATGTGCAGATATGTATAGAGTCAAAATGGATAGGCAGAGAACTGGCATTTTGTCCTTATGGCTTAGAAATTTCCATTATGTAATCTATTTTATCCAACTTTTTAGCCTTTTTCTAATTTCTGGAGTTGCTTTTCTAACATTTGACAATTTAAGGGCATTGTGATGTTTTATTTGCATTGTGATGTTTTATTTCAGTTAAATTTTCTGCCCCAGATATTTCTTGGTTTGCAGGAAATGTATGATTTAAGTCTTTTCAGAATTTTGACGAAATGTATATAGTATTGGGATAGTATTCTTGGAAAATAATGGGCGTGGTGCTATTGAATTTGCATATTCTTTGGGTACTGATGATCACCACCAGTTAAATCTGTTAAAGTAACAATTGACTGCAGACTGTTGAAACCCTGGCCTTTCAGTTAACCAGACTGCCACCCTTCTCCTGTTCTCTCCAGAAAGCATACACATTGCTACATGTGGCCAACACCTATGTCTGGCCCAGAATTCACTGGCTTTGCCAGAGAATCTGATCTAGAATTCAAATCTACTGATTGCTTTCTTTAAAGACATTGTTGGAGCATTCTGTTTTTTGGTTGAAAAATACATGGTTCCAATTACCCATTGCTTCTATCTTCATATTATATTTCAGTGGGTGTATATCTTATTACAAATCTTTATCATAATCTTGAAAGGTCTGGTGGTCTCTACTTTATATGAGAGAATTCGAAGTTCTGGAGATGCACGTGGCTGCCCAAAGTTGCAGAGCTCCTGAGACAAACTTAATGTTCCAAACTTGTACTCCTGGGTCTGCAGTCTCTCTTTCACAAGCTATTAGTAGCAGCCATCTGTTATTCAGTTATCATGAAAAGAGATTGGGTTTAGGGAAAGTCCAGTCAGAAACAAAGCAGTCACTACTCCCTGTGTGATTTACTGTCTCTTAATGCCCAAGATCCTCATTTACAAATTGTGAGCTCTACTCAATGGGAAAGAGTAAGTAGAAATGTGTGTGTGTGCGTGTGTTTGTGTGTGTATGCCTTTCGACAGTGAGGTTTCCACAAAAATTATCTAATGTATCTTTTTCTTGCCTGTGTCACATCATTCTCTGAACCAAAAGGAAGATAGCATTGACCCATGCATTAGGTAACATACCAGGCATTTAAATATACTTGAAATTTAGAATCTTTTATCCCTCACTATCTGAAAACAGAAGATACTGACAAGAGTTCCCATTCTGTTTCCTACTGTGGGATGTTGAAAGGCAGAGCAGATAGCAGTCTTAGAAGTGATGTAACGTGTAGTCAGAGGGTATTCTTTATAATCATCTGCTTTTAATCCCATTTGAACTTCCAAACAGTTCTGGAGTTTCCTACTGTTCTAAGTCCTTTGCTGGCACCATGACTTAACTTAGTAATATGGCAGGCTGTTGGGAGAGTTAGAGGCGAATTAGGATGCTATAATATAAACAAATTAAAGCATGTACATGTATTTCTCTGTGACTTGTAAAATATAGAACATCCTTTGACTATTTTTTTCTCTTTAAAATTGTTTGTAGGATGCAGAATAGAAAACTGTGATTCTTGCTTTAGCAAAGACTTTTGTACCAAGTGCAAAGTAGGCTTTTATTTGCATAGAGGCCGCTGCTTTGATGAATGTCCGGATGGTTTTGCACCGTTAGATGAGACCATGGAATGTGTAGGTGAGTGATTCTTAATTCAACTTTCAACTTTCAAAATTTGGAATCCCACTGCAAATTTTCCTGCCTGTTTCTGTGAATACTCATGTTGGATATAGCCAACCTAAAAGCAAATGGCTTCTATTGCTCATTAGAACTGAAAGGGTTTTTGTTTGCTGATTCTGAATATTTTAGGCATCATAATGATGGATAGCTTTGTTTAAAAATCTGCTCGTCATGTATTTGCCAAGTTAGAGTACTTAAGGACTGATAAAGTTTATCATCTGTAATATATCCATTTCCTATTATCTTAAGTTATTAGCACTGTTAGAGAACAATGTTTTATTTAGTAGAAAAATAAAATGTTCCAGCAGTATCATGCCAGCCATCCTATTGCCTTAGCCATGCAAGTAAATGAACCATGGACCTTCTTACTAAGCCATCTGCATAAAAAAAAAAAAACAAGTTGAAAGAATACTTTTGTGCCAAAATGTATTTCCTTGATGACTGACTATATTTTGCAAAACTTAATAAAGTAGATTTGCTGTTAACTGAATTTTAGATCTGTAGAATGCATACTTTAACATACATAGTGTGAAAAAATAATCATACATCTTAGAAGCTTCATATGACCTCACGCTTTGGTGTTTATAAAATACTGTGCATGTGTCACTGAGTAACGGGTAAATTTTCTGTGTTTGGCAAATACATTGATTTATTTTTAGCTATAATTTCATGTCCATCTGTCTCAAATTTTACTACATGTATTATATATCTGTTTTAATGTGCAATAATCATCAATTGTACTTCCAATTTCTTAAATGGAGAGATTTTAAAATGGAACTTGACAATTTTTTTTCTGTAGAAATATCACTGAAATAATTTGCAAACTGTTGTTGAGGAAAATTTTCTTAAAAGTGTGGTTTGGAAAGAAATGTGTTATAATTGTATTTATGCGTGTGTTAGTACATGCAGATTATCACTCAATTAAAAATGAGAGATCCACTAAAACATATATTCTGAGTGTTGTTTTAGCTTTTGATAAGAGTCACACCCGTTATAATTGTGAATGGAAATGTGTGTAATATTTCATGACAGAATCCTGTGCATTGGCCTATATAACAATTTTAAATGGGTTTGAAAAATTATAAAATTGGTCCTGGTGCCTACTGAATTTGAAAATGCTGTATGCCAAGTGTGGATTCCAGGCTGGGGCCCTCATACACTCACAGGGAGAGCTTTTCAGTGGCAAGTCCATTAGGAGGTTCAATTCTGCATAGCCTTACTCCCCTCCCCCATCTCCACTACTACTTAATAATCTTACAAAAGGGGACACTAAACATTGCCCATGCCTAGGAACATGATATACCTTCTTTGCAGTAGGTGTCTGTTACATTTTAAACTTGTATTATATTATTATACAGAGGCTATGAAATATATCAGCATACCTGTTAATAGAATATGCAGAATCAGAAACGTGTGCACATGTACACACACACACACACACACACACACTCACTCTTTGCCTTCCTCCTAGTACTTAAAGCAAACAGAGTTATGGATTTGGAGTAGGGCATATGAAATTAGCCTGTCAGATTCTGGCTTCTGTCATGGCGTGCAAAGAGCCTGTTCTGTTTTAGGTTTTGTCTGTTTAGAGATATCTTCTAGAGAAGATACAGGTTTGCATCTAGGCCTGAACAGCAGTATTTCTTTGAAAACATGGCAGACAGAAAGCCTGAGGCCTTTAATTACTTACGAGGAATTTGTTTGTCTTAGCTGTCAGTGCCCTGAGACTTAAACAACTCTAGTTCTAGAAAGATGAGTGCAGATCCTTCTGGTTACATAACCTGCTATTTGATATTTGGGGTGGAGGTGATGGATAAAGTATAACGAGAAGAGGACACTCAACTGCTATCTGTGTTTGTATCTCTTAAATCTTTATCAGAAGGTTGTGAAGTTGGTCATTGGAGTGAATGGGGAACGTGTAGCAGAAACAACCGCACATGTGGATTTAAATGGGGTCTGGAAACCAGAACACGGCAGATTGTTAAAAAGCCAGCGAAAGACACAATACCATGTCCAACCATTGCGGAGTCCAGGAGATGCAAGATGGCCATGAGGCACTGTCCAGGAGGTGGGTCCAAACAATCGTGCTCATGTGCTGCCTGCTTTCTGAAATTTTCCTTCCTCCCTCCTTCTCCCAAGAACGTTTATCTATGATGGAAACCTGATACTAACATTGGAGATGAGATAAAATTCTACTTTTTTTTAAAAAAAGAAACAAATGCTTAAGTGGTGATTTATATACACTATACATTTCATTTGCTTTTATAATAGTTTTAAAATAGCTTGAATGAGTATCAATGTGTTTTCGAAAATGAGATTTCTAAAAGTGTGGATTGTGTGTGTGTTTTCAAATGTGCCATAATACAGAGTTCTTGTGAAATTGGGACTTTGCAGATGTTGCTCAGAAGAAGGGGCCAACTTTGAACTGAGAAGAGTTTAGATTAGAAAGGTTTATAGAATCTGTAAAATCATCTGCACCGTTACTAGTTGAAGATGACAACTTAAAATAAACTTACCCAAACACTGGGAGGAAAACACCCTGTCTTAATGTTACCACAATTAGCCCTTTCTCTTTGTTTTGATAATAATTTGTAGAAAACAGCTACTGGTATGTGTATGCTTAATTCTTTGTAATAATTATACTGATTTGCAGTCATTATTCTGTAATAGCTGGATTAGACTCATTTGGAAATTAGGAGAGGAGTACTTAGTGAGGTGTTGGCCAACACAGAACCAGGAGGTCAAAATGCAATCCTTGTCTGTATGTGTTTGTGGGTTGTGAATACATGTGTGTTTGTGACATGTATGTGTACATACATGTACATGCATGGCCATGTGGAGGCCAGATGGCAACATTGGGCATCTCCCTTTATTGTTTTCAACTTTTTAAAGACATGGTCCTTTACTGACCTGGAACTCACTAATTTGGCTAGACTAGTTGGGCAGCAAGGCCCTAGGACCCTCTGTCTCTGTGCACCTTCCCCAGGACTGGAGTTACTGGCATATGTGCCCTGTATGTAGATGCTGGGTATATGAACTTGGTCTTCATAACAGTGCAGCAAGCATATTACAGACTGAGCCATCTTACCAGCATATTTATATGGAATTTTCACTTCTTAAAGCAGTAATCACTTGTTGACACTTACTGTATCACTGGCCAAAACCATATTGTCACAGATGAAACCGAAATTTTTTTTAAGTGGACAAATTAAAAAAAAAAGGCAGAAGGAAAGTTGTTTTTGGAAAAGTGCCTTTAAAATAACCCAAACTTTTGTTTGCCTTCTTCCCCTCACCCACTGTTGGTGTGTAACTTCTCAACCTTTTAACTCAAGTCCAGAAAGAGACCACATAGCTGCTTAAAGTGGGTTTATATCCGCATTCTGCTGCCTCATAGAGAGTGTCTATGATCCATGGAGAAAGACGAAACTCTGAAGACTGGAAGACTCCAGCCGGCCTCTAAGGACTATTAGATCCAGATTCAGAAGCTCCTGTGGAGGAGCCAGCTTTTCCTCTTGAATTAGTCTTGCTTTTCTTTACTGGGCCTTTGAAACAAATTTTTTTCGGGTCTGCTTTTCACTAACAAGGATGGTTTTGTTCACTTAAAGTGGGTATTTTTCAGTCAAAATATAAGAAAATATTTTCTTACAAAACTAATAAGCCATGTCTTGGATAGCTGAGAGCATTTAACCTGCAACCTTTCACCTAAAAGCAAACCTGATGTATTCAGGTATTGAAAAGAAAGACTTTCTTTGTTGTATATTGTTTATATAACTGTCCCCTCCCCCCACTCCCTTTCAAGCAACATGGTCCTGCAATTGTGGTTTACGTTAATAGCAAAAATTAAACTGAAAATATTCTAGTAACAAACATGCTTATGTGTAATAAGAGCTCCAATACCCCTCTCCCCTCTGCAGCCTTTTATTTGTCTGGCCTTAGTCATGACTGAGAATTTTCTAGAGAACAGATAGGTTGTTAACCATAATGTTTATTACATTTGCATTATTTGTGCCACCAACAGTTACCATCTTAATGGAATCTGATTGACTCTACTGATAAATTATGCCACAAAAAATTACTAATGCCTGATTTTTGCTAGTTTTTTTTTCCTCCCCCTTTGGACAAATGAACCAGAGATAGATTCTAACTTATACTTTATTTAGATTCTAACCATGTTTTTCCCATTAAGCGCTGGTCTAATCGCTGCAGGTATCTAATTTTCAGTTTACTAACAGGATTATTCTTTTTTTGTCTAAATGTCAAATAGCAAACACTCATGTCTTTATAACTGGGTTTCAAAGATATGCTGGGACTTGTTTTATTGTTTGATTTAGAGGCAAATAAACTAAATTAATAGAAATTGAAGGCTCTGTAATAAAATGACTTCTAAGTACAAAGGTAGCATATAAGAACTAAGAAATTAATTGTGGACCGTGAGCAGCGGTTGCTAAGAATTGGCATAACCCGTGGTGGCGAATCTCACCTTGCCCCAGGTGAGAGTGGGAAAAGTCCCTTTCTTCAGCTGGTCATGCTGATTACAGGAAGAATGGAGAAGAAAACCACGTTATCCCCCTTTCCATCTTGATTTGATTTCAGTGATCTGCTTTGACAAACCATGCAAAAATGTAAGTCGTAATCAGGTTGGAAATACAGGCATTTTTCAGATCTTTTCAACATATGTATGGATTTTTTTTCCTCCGTTGGAGTCAATCTTAACCTGATTGCACTCAAATGCAGCCTGAGCCCCCCCCCCTTCACACCGGAGCACAGGCGCATGAAAATCAGCTGCTTTTGATTACAGAAAGGCCGGAGTTAGAGGTCAGCATCGTGGAATAGCTGCTGCGTGTTTAAGATGTTACACTGAAAGCTATTAAATAGGAGAAAATGAACAACTAGAAAAGGAAAAAAATAACAAGGAAAACATCTCGGTGTAATGATCTAGCATTCTAGTTCCTTACCCATCACAGTCTGATCTGTCTATGAGGGGCAAAAGGAGAAAACTATATAGAAACTTTAGTAGATATATTTGTACTGAAGTACCCATTTCATTTATAAACTTTTGTTTTTTCTTCTTTTTATTTATTGGATATTTTTAATTTTCAAATGTTATCCCCTTTCCTGGTTTCCCCTGCAGAACGCCCCTTCCCATGCCTCCTCTTCCTGCTTCTATGAGGTGCTCCCCCTCCCACCCACCTACTCCTGCCTCACCGCCCTGGTATTCTCCTACACTGGGGCATCGAACCTTCACAGGACTAAGGGCTTCCCTTCCTATTGATGCCAAACAAGGCCATCCTCTGCTATATATGCAGCTGGAGCCATGGGTCCCTCCATGTGTACTCTTTTGTTGGTGGTTTAGATCAGTTGCTTTTTCTTCCACTGTGGATGAAACATGTAAGATTTCTTGGACTTTTCTCTCAATCCTCAGAGGTTTGGTCTATGGTCTCAGTGTCCACATCCGGTCAACTCATAACTTTTGTGATGCCCTGACAAGTCACTTAACCCTTCTTGGCTCTTATTTCCTTATTTATAAATTGAAAATACTGATGGGGGACACCTCTAAGGTTTAGACTTCTTCTAAACTCCAGCGACTGTAGGATTAATTGCTACAAGGAACAGGTGAGGTCTGTGGTTTCCCTTTAGAAGACAAGGAAAAGAGCACAGAGTGACCATGGAGATGACCATGTTTCTGGTGGTGGTTGCTCTGATCATGTGCTGAGCCATCATCTGCAAGTGGTGGCTTTCATTCTCCTTCTCCAAAAATGACATCTGTGTGTTCAACCTTCAAAGACTAAAGAGTTGTTTTAAATGTAAATGCTGTCTCAGCTACCAAAAAAACATCTGAGAGAGGAACAATGAAAAATTGGGGAGCGTAAGAAACCACAGGAGGAAGAAAAGACAGGGAAATGAATTAATTGATACTGTGTTTGGGAAACAAGTGGGAAGAAGAGTTGACCCTTAAGGACTCAAAGCTGTACTTGCTGCAGATACAGCCATCCTGTCCCATCTCCCCATTGTTAGATTTCATCCCGGTGGGAAAAGTATAGTTTAGTAATACCCCAAAACTCTGAATGGGAGGGATTTCCAGTCTAGTTTAAGTTGTAAATTAGGCATCATTTTAAGAGAAAAAGATAAACGGGCTATTATGTATTTGAATGATAAATGAGAAAGCAACCACATGATGTTAAAGGATGATGATGGAAGAGACAGAGACAGAGACAGAGACAAAGACAGAGGTACAAGGGTACCCTTGTTTGTTCCAGGGAGCAAAGTCAGGTTCTTCGGCCCCTATAGCAAAGTGTGTTTCCTTGTTTCAGTAGCTCTCTGGCTCTGACAGCAAGTTTTGCTAGATATATGTTGATTAGTGTTTATTGTTCTGTCGCTTAAAGAATTCTTGAGTTTTTCTTAGAAATACTAACTGTAGTAAAGAAGTAAATGGATGAGCCTATATAGTTTCATGAGGAGGCATGAGTCGTATAGGGAAGTAAAGGAGGACAAGGAAGGACTTTCACTGAGGTGTGCTGATTCGTGTTTGATATTCAGAGAGTGGTGAGAGTGATGTTTGGTCAGGGATCTGAGGGAAGGTGATCCCGTGAAGATCAAGCATACATGTGTTGTACTTGTTGACTCAATGACTATTTGAATATTTTTGGTTCCCCTACAATATTTTGGGGAGCGAGGATGTTCCAGTGAGTGCCTAGGAGGCTCTGAGTGGCCCTTAGCAAGTTGCTAGTAGCAGCGTAAAGAGCTTGACCAAAGTCTTGCTGTGTAGGAAGGTTGAGTTTCTTGTGCTTTTTCCTTGTTCCTGTAGTGAAGGTTAAAGAACAAGCTATGACTGTCTTGCCTCATGAGGAACCCGAGTTGCAGCTTTCTCTATTCCTCCATTCAGAAATATCATTTGATGTCTTTACTAGTACTTTGAAACATAACTTCATGCTACCTCCATTCCTTCTCCACACCTTGCTATGTGAAATAACAAGTAAGGTGAATTCCAGAGGTCATATTTCATATGTGCTGAAGCATGGGGCCACTAGCTATGCTTTGACGCATGCTCTATGAAAACCCCACCCTCCT